GGAAGGAAGGAAGGAAGGAAGGAAGGAAGGAAGGAAGGAAGGAAGGAGAAAGAAAGAGAAAGGAAGGAAGGAAGGAAGGAAATAAAGAAAGAGAGAGAAAGATAAAGAATTTTTTTAATTTTTATTTATTTTTTATTAATTACACTTTATTCACTTTGTATCCTCCCATAAACACCTCCTTCCTCCCCTCCTAGTCCCACCTTCCCTCCCCTTTCTTCATTCATGCCCCTTCCTAAGTCCACTGATAGGGGAGGTCCTCCTCTCCTTCCTTCTGATCTTAGTCTATCAGTTCTCATCAGAAGTGGCTGTATTGTCATCTTCTGTGGCCTGGTAAGGCTGCTCCCCCCTCAGAGGGAGGTGACCAAAGAGCAGGTCAATTGGATTATGTCAGAGGGAGTCCCTCTTCGCATTACTATGTTACCCACTTGGACACTGAACTGCCATGGGCTACATCTGTGCAGGGGTTCTAGGTTATCTACATGCATGGTACTTGGTTAGAGTATGAGTCTCTGGAAAGACCCCTGTGTTCAAATTTTCTGCTTCTGTTGCTCTCCTTGTGGAGTTCCTGTCCTCTCCAGATTTTACTATTTCCTTCTTCTTTCATAAGATTCCATGCACTCTGCCCAACAGTTGACCATAAGTCTCAGCATCTGCTTTGATGGCCCTCTGTGGCAGGTTCCTAACTTGTTTCCTGTTTTCTTCTTCTTCTGATGTCCATCCTCTTTTCCTTTCAGGATGGGGATTGACCATTTTAGTCACAGCCCTCCCTCTTGATTAGTTTCATGCTGGAGAAGTTGTGGAGAAAGGAGAACCCTCCTCCACTGCTGGTGGGAATGGAAACTTGTACAGCCACTCTGGAAATCAATCTGGTGCTTTCTTAGACAACTAGGAATAGTGCTTCCTCAAGATCTAGCTATACCACTCTTAGGCATATATCCAAAAGAGGCTCAAGTACACAATAAGGACATTTGCTCAACCATGTTTGTAGCAGCTTTATTTATAATAGCCAGAAGCTGGAAACAACCCAGATGCCCCTCAACTGAAGAACGGATACAGAAATTGTGGTACATCTACACAATGGAATATTACTCAGCAATGAAAAACAAGGAAATCAATCAATTTGCAGGTAAATGGTGGGACCTGGAAAGGATCATCCTGAGTGAACTGCCTGAGAAGCAGAAAGATACACACGGTATATATGCACTCATATAGACATATAATATAGGCTAAACCTACTAAAATCTGTACATCTAGAGAAAGAATTTTTTTTAAAGAAAGGCCTACACATATAGTTTTTGTTAGAATTTGACTATACAATTATTTCTAGTTGTACTCTGAGAATACTGGAATTTGTTGAAGCTTCTTCTGCTCATTTTTTATCTTAAAATGTGTGCAGGTCAGTGTCCAAGTGGGCTACCTAGTAATGGGAAGAGGGACTGCCTCCCTCTGACATAAACTGATTGGCCTGCTCTTTGATCACCTCCCCCTGAGGGGGGAGCAGCCCTACCAGGCCACAAAAGAGGACAATGCAGCCACTTTTGACGAGAACTGATAGACTAAGATCAGAAAGGAGAGGAGAACCTCCCCTATCAGTGGACTTGGGGAGGGGCATGCATGCAGAAACGGGAGGGAGGGTGGGATCGGGAGGGGAGGAGGGAGGGGCTTATGGGGGGATACAGAATGAATAAAGTGTAATTAATAAAAAATTTTTAAAAAGTTTTAAAAAAAGCACTGGAAATAAACCTTGTAGTTATAAATGAAAAAAAAAAATATCTGTGTGGAGCTAAGATGGTTCAGTGAATAAAGGGCTTGCCTTGCAAAGATGAAGACTTGACTTCAAGCCCCAGAACCCATGTATTTAAAGCTAGGCATGGCAGTGCACACTTTAATCCTGGCAGTGTGTAGGCAAAATCTCGGGGGTTGATAAAGTTCACTGGCCAGTCAGCTTAACCTATCTAGATCTCAAGGACAACTAAGGGATGGTCACTCAGTAAACAAGGTAAATGACATCTGAAAAACACCTCTTTCCTCAACATGCATGCACTTGTGTACATGGGCTTCCTCTCTCTCTCTCTCTCTCTCTCTCTCTCTCTCTCACAGTCACACGTGAAAGGTATATAAGATAGCTAAGTAACTCTGCCTCTTCTACATTGTATGTCTATAGCAATCACAAACACACATAAGCTGTGGTTAGCCACACACAAGTGATGCAAAACAAATAAAGAAACATGGAGGCAGGGTGGGGAATAATGAGGATAGGGGAATGAAGACAGGGCCACCAGAACCAGACACTACCTCTTACATAGTGAGGTAGCCTACCATATAAACTGTCACAGAGGAGAAGGAAAGCCCGTACTTCACAGCGCTTCAGAGAACAATGTCAAACGCTGGTGGCACAGTCACAGATCAGTTATGCGCTAAGCTGCAATGTCAGAACAAAAAAAAAATGCTTTAGAAAAATAACAGCCCTTTTTCTTCCCTTAAAAAGTGAAATCATTCTTAAATTCACTATTATAACTCTTGGTCTAAAATCTATCATACTGTTTTCTGAAACAGTCTTTCTTTTCAGTTCCAAACTCAACTAGACTAGAGAAAAGAAAAATCTTGCTAGAGCTGTCGCCATCATTTATGAAGTGCTTCCAGAAGCTGTCTCTTGTCAACCAGCCTCCTTGGATGCAACTTTTGAACTGACGGGAGGAGAGTACAGTGATGCAGTTGAACCACCAAAGGACACTGTGGCCATAGTTTTTATATTAAAAATAAGAAAGATAACTGCTTTCTATGATTTTGACTTATTTGTTTACTTACTTATTTTTTTCCTTTTTCTTTATTTTTTGACAGGGTCTAGCATTGTCTAGGCTGGTCTCAAACTCCCTGAACATTTAAAGACGACCTTGAATCTCCGATCCCCTTTATCTGCATTCAGAGACCTAGAATTACAGGTATGTACCACAGCATGAAGGTTTTAAGCGGTCCTGGGGATTGAACCCAGGACTTTGGGTCTGTTAGGCAAACACTGTATAAACTCAATTATATACTCAGGATTTGGCATCTTCTTTTTATACTACATTCAATAAAATATTTGTCACAGTTTACTTACTGACCATGATAGGCATCATGTATAAAATGACATGTACAAGATTTGACCTCTCTCTTTCCAGAGGTGAAAGATATGGTATTTTATAGTACTCTCCCCCTTAGCCATGGCCAAGGAGTTTCACAACTGCTGTCCTTACTGAAAACTACTGTCATGTATCAGTCATGGCATAGACATTATGTTTGTTCCCTTCGGCCATGCTTCTTCAACAACACAAATATTTAATGTGACTATAAAATAAAAGTGTCACATGTTCAGATTATATACCTCCATTTTGTTTTACTTTTGGCAAACACAGTACTGTGATGACTCTGAAATGAGCCAATGGGTGAAAGCCGAAAAATGTTTACCTGTTATTTTCATGCTTCCTTTTCAAAACTAAGTGCTGTAAAGAGAGAGAGCCCAGAAGGTACAAAGAAAAATGAGTCCACTTCCCCAATAGGACAGCGTGTTGCATAGACTGGGAAGAAACATTTGAAGCCTTCATCTTCATCAGCTTGGTGTCAGTCCTTCTTACAGTGGAAACCTCTAACCTTTGAGACTGAAAAGATCAGGACAGAGGGAGGCAAAGAATGAAACAGAGGAAGAAAGAAAAAAAAACCTGCAAAGAAAAACATGTCTTGAGTTGATTGACATATCTCCAGGTAGAAGAGGAATGAGATAGAACGCTATGCTCTCATTCTGAATTATCTCTAGCAGAGCAATCTACCCTGATCCTGGACCTTTCCTTAGTGTGGCAATCTGCTTCCACTAAGTGTCTACACACAGATTTCTGTTGTGCCTTGTACTTTTTTCTCTTCACTAAAAACATTCCTCAGCTAGCTTGTGTGAGGCTGAATATATTTTCCATTCCTAAACACCTAAACAAAACTCTGTCTTTAGGATCTCAGCATACAGAATTTGAATGTGTTGACCCATTTTTAGCAAAGATATAACAACACAGCATGTTATGTATCTGCATGTGCATTTTCCTTTTTTAAATTTTTTTTATTTTTTTACTATTAA